ACTTACTGAGCCCGGAGACGTGGATGGCTTTCACATATTTCCTGATCCTCTGCAGTATGGCTTGGTCCCCATCCAGGCTCTGAGAAAGCAAAGTACCAAACCCTGTCAGTCTGGGGGGTGCTGCCAAGCAGGGTGGGCGCAGTACGGGGACAGGAGGCACCCAGCAGGGCAGGATCAGTGCTGAGGATGCTGCAGCCCCAATTTGTTTGGATCCAAGCTCCCAACAGCTGTGAAAATGCCTCCAGAGCTCCCACAGGGGCTCACTCCAACCGAGGGGGAAAATGAAGGTATCCCACCAAGGAGCACAGCTGCATCAGGCTGTCCCTGCCACAGCAGCACACATACCCACAGCATGGGGTCAGGCACAGCACAAGGGGCACATCAAGGCTCCCAGCTCCATGCAGGGACCTGGGGCAGAGCAAACCCCAGCCCCACATCCTGCTGATGGGACAGAAGCAACGCAGATCCCACGGGATGGGATGCAGTTTTCTGCCATCCCCTGGTGCGAGGGTTCAGATGCATCCCTCCCTCACCTCCCCCAGCCCCATACCTCGCTGCAAACAAAACCCAACACCAACCCCAGCCCCACAGCGCTGCTCAGAGGCAGGCAGAGCCGTGCAAGCAGCTCCAGCCAGCAGGAAAGGGTTAAGGGTGGCTTGGCTGCACTGCAGGTAGCAGAGGCATGATAACAGGCTGGAAATATTTGGAGGGCGTGGAACAGCGAGAAGGGCGAGGGATGAAACCGCGGAGGAATTGCAATAAAGAGCTCTCTCTCCCCTTTCTTGCTCTCTGTGAAGGTTTTGGGGCTGATGTCAAGGTCCGTTTCCTGACAGCAGGGTCAGCCTGGCTCCACTCCTGGGAAGCACAGAGGCCCCTCCTTGCCAGGATGGGGAGGGGGGGAGGGAGGAGCAGGGAGAAGCAGAAGGCAGAAGCCCCCCCAGGGTTCTCATAGGGACACCATGGGGGGGAAGCTGGCAGCTGCCTCTGTGCTCCTCGTTATTGTACCATGGAGTAGTGCAGAGCAGCCCAGGGTTTGGGGGGGGGGACACCATCAGTGATGCCTGTGAGTCCCCAGGCACAGCTCTGCCCTCAACCACACAGCATCCCAGCACAGCCTCAGGGAGGGGAAACTGAGGCAGTGCTGGAGGCTGGGGGTGCACACAGGCACTGCGTATCTGGGGGACAGAACCTCTCCAGTGCTTTGGGATGGGGGCAACCCCCCCACACGGGGCACATAGGGTGGCACAGAGCAAGAATCAAGGACAGTGTGGGGAAGGGAATGGAGCCACATCGGTGACAAGGGATTCCCTATGGGGATGGAGAGAGGGACAGACCTGCACCTGCAGCACAGCCACCCTCACCCAGCACACACTGCTCAATGGGGTCATTCTTTGGTCCCCCCCCTCTCCGTGCCGCCCGGAGAAGGAGCAGTGCTGGGTGCTGGGTGCATCCCCCCCCCCGGCTGCGAGGGGCAGAGTGGGGCAGGATGCAGCCCTGACACTGTGATGGGCACCGCAGGATGCAGCCACCAGCTCTGTGGTCACAGCCACCCTACAGAGACCTGGCCTCCTGGCCCCCATGCCTTGCATCCACTCTTCCCTCCAAGTCCAAGCCCCCATGGGATGCACCTTCTGCCCCCATCACCCCAAAACCACACGCGAGACCCTCAGGAGGGGACAGGACAGCCCACTGTAAGCCCATGAGGGAAACTGAGGCACGGCACAGCTCCAGAAACCAAGCAGAAGGGTGGGGGGGCTCAGCAGCCCCACAGACCTCAGCTCTCAGCACACTGGGGTGCTGGTGGGACACGCTGTCCCCTCCCAACGGGACATCCTGGGCTCAGACCTGGCAGCACCATAGTGGGCATCCTCACTCCCTCCTGCATCCCAAAGCACCAGCAATAATATGGGGTGCTGATGAGGTGGATCAGAGTTCAGCTGGACGCATCCTTCCCTGCAGCCTCTGTCCCCAAAGACCCCAGAGCCACTGTCATCAGTGCCAGCACTCAGTCCCCCAAACAAACCCCCTTCCCCTAAATCACAGCCTCCTTGGGGAAGCTGAGCCGCCAAGTGAAATTCCTGCTGCTTCCTCCTGCCCGAAGCTGCCTCCCCCTTGCCAGCCAAGAGCACATGCTGGCAGAATTTGGGATGCCCCACACCATCCCACCATCCAGCCCTGGGTTCCCAGCCTGGGGGCTGCAGGAGGAGGAGGGGGCTGTAAGGCCTGGCTGCCCTTCAAAGCCATTCCTTTGCTAAGAGAAGTTGGCAGAGGATACGGGACCAGCTGGGAACAGCCTCTATTGGAGACAGGAGTGGGGAGAGGGGGATGAATGCACCCCGCCTGAGCTCCACCAATACTGATGGGGCTTTTGGGGAGGGGGAGGAGGGGGCTAAAGATCCTCCCCTGGCTCTGAGAGCAGTGAGGCCCTGCAGCCCATCGGGGTGTAGCAGCTCTCAGCCCTGAGCCATCATGCTGGGGGCAGAGCCAGTCCCCGGGCAGCGCCCAGAGCTGGAGGACCCGTCGGGCTGTAAAACGGGGAAGTTTGGCCCCAAACCGCAGCCCTTGGCCTCAAGATGTCACCCAGTGGGCTGGAGGATGCCAACAGTTCAAGGGTCCCAAAGCAGCTCTGCGGGG